GTACATTTGCTCTTCAATGATTTGAAACAAAGAAGCAAATAACCGATTACTCTTCACCAAGAAGATTAGCAATCTTATTCTCGATGTGTGCTTCATGGTCTTCAAGGCGACCCTTGGCTGCATTATTTTCCCAGAAGATCAAAGTAGGAACACCTTTGAGATTGAACCTTGGATCTGCCCTCCATGGGTGATTTGGGTTCCTCCATTTCGGCCTATCTCCAACATAAGCCCTGAGCAGTGCAACATCGTCATTGGCAGATGAAGCTTCCAGCTTTTTGTATATTACAGGTTCAGCTCTCACACAATCTGAAAATGAACACACGGTTCATATTTTTCCAGCTTTTTGTATATTACAATTTCAGCTCTCACACAATCTGTGTGCAACTATAATTCTTCCCAACATAAGACTTGTACATTCCTATAAACTCTACCCTAATTTCTTAGATTGTTCAAGTTAATTGACAAAAATCAAATCATGCTTGTCTTAATCATAGTTCTACAAAAAAAATTGAAGCTGATCTTAAAATGGAACATTTTTGGTACATCATCAAATAAATTTGATGCCAAATATAAAATGTAAAAAAGATATAAACAGTGCCAATTGCCGTATAGTGGTGTATTTGTCTTGGCTACAAATAATGTGTAAAAAAAGATATAAACATTGTAAACTGTCATGCATGGTGTGCTTGTCCACTCACAGCATAGTAAGATTATAGTAAGATTTAGAGGTTTGCCACTATAAAGTTCTTGATGAATTGAATCATGATTAGAGAATTACGAGAAATTAATGAATCAAAACTACAAACACCAGAATAAATATTACGATCAACGACATCTTCCAAATTGTAGTAACTTCAACTCATTATTATTAACTGGAGTTGTGATCGGATGAACAAATCGTTGATAGTACAGAAACGAGAAAATGGGATACCTACCAGGGCACCAGCTGAGGGAGGTGGAAGGATCGGGGTCAGCCAAGAAGAGGATGAGATTGGCCTTGTTTTTCGGCGCTTCGGCTATGAACTTGTTGAACTCTGCATCGAATGTTTCTACGGTAGCGCCGAAAGTTTTGAGAGGCATATTTTCTCTTCTTCTCTACTCTTCGCACGGGATTCTGCAGATCTAAAGCTTAGGGAAGCTCACTTGGGTTTTCAAAGGTAGGAAAGCTTTGATTCCTTTTTTGCTTGAATTCTCATTTTAAAATTCCGACCCGTTATTGAAGGCTAAGATTTTTTTGTTATTGGTTAAATTGATAAAAATAATACCTGTAAAAATAAGGTCTTTTTCATGAATATTACTAAATTAATTTAAAGAAAAAAATAAGTATGTCAATTTTTGAATTTTTGTTTAAAAAATAGATAAAATTTGTAACAAGTCTTAAAATTTTAAAAAATGTATACAAAAAATAAAAATAGATAAATAACTAGAAAAATTAAAATACAAAATTCAAGTATTCAAAATGTACTCCATACATTTTTATTTAAGTTTGTAGAATTTTTTGTTATTGGTTAAATTGATTAAAATAATACCTGTAAAGATAAGGTCTTTTTCATGAATATTACTAAATTAATTTAAAGAAAAAAATAAGTATGTCAATTTTTGAATTTTTGTTTAAAAAATAGATAAAATTTGTAACAAGTCATAAAATTTTAAAAAGTGTATACAAAAAATAAAAATAGATAAATAACTAGAAAAATTAAAATACAAAATTCAAGTATTCAAAATGTACTCCATACATTTTTATTATGTTTGTAGATAATTATAAATTTTTTATTTTTTAGATACTTTTCTTTGTTTTAAAAACTGGTAAAACGGTTGGATTATCAAGGTAATCACACTTGCATAATATGTTTGATAATATAAGGGTTTGAATGATGAAATTTGAAATAGTGAAAAATCTATTGGACCTTTTCCATCAATAGATTTTGGTATTATTTGAAATACAAGTAACAACCATAATATCCGAGGCTTAGGGAGTGCTTTAAGATGTAGGAAATTAAAATACAAAATTCAATGATTCAAAATAAAAAATTACATAAAAATGTATAAGATTCAAGTTTCAAATATACAAATATTTAAGAAATGTAGGATAATTATAATCCAAAGAACTGTTAAAAGTTTGTAGATACTACGTATTAGTGTTTTTACTTTTTTAAATACGGTTATATATAGAGTGTGTTTTTCCAATACTCTGATACTTTTCTATATTTTAAAAATTGGTAAAACGGTTGGATTATCAAGACAATCATATACTTATATAATACTTTTGATAGCATAAGGGTTTGAATGATGAAATTTGAAATATTGAAGAATATATTAAACCTTTTCCATCAATGAAGTATATAATTCGTTGTAGATATAATGGTTGACTTAGGTATTACTAGTATTTGAAATACAAGTAACAACCACAATGTCCAAGGCTTATGGAGTGTTTTAAAACTTTGCGACTTAGGCTTTATAGAAGTAAATTTGTGGTTTAAACGAAGGTAGTCTTCAATCTTATTTTTTAATTGAGGGTACTTTTAAATTTATTTCCCAAATGAGGGTAATTTTTCCCATGTCATCCAATTTCCGCCACATTACCCACTTCACATCATTCACCGTTATCCGTCATTCCACGTCATCAGCCATATGAGTATTCTTTTAAAATATAAAAAAATCCAAAGCTCCCAGGAATTGATGCACTTGTATCTTGCAACTCACTAGACTACATTGACTTGTTGGGACAATCACACCTTTACAAACATTTAACATATATATATATATATATATATATATATATATATATATATATATATATATGTGTGTGTGTGTGTGTGTGTGTGTGTGTGTGTGTGTGTGTGTTTAATACAACGTATTTTGATATATGCAATTCAAAAAAATTAAAATTGCTCTACATTAATTAAATAAAATAAGAAAGAAATAAATGAGAACGACTGGACTAATTCATCTAAAATTTAATAAAAAATTTATATTACTGATGCAAAAGAATGCAAAAATATATATTTCATGTACAAAAAATTAAAAAATCCGTAAAATACAAGTTTTTTTACAATCATAATTTAAGTATTTTACAAGCCTGAGGTGGATTTGAACCTATATTGACATTTATTTATTTTTTAGTTTATTTAGAGTAGATTTAATTTTAAGTTATTCTTGTATAACATATATCAAATTACGTTTTTATTATAATTTTTAATTAAGTTTTTATTTTTTAATTTTATATCTAAAATTAAGTATTTATCATATTCTTTTTTTAATGTTATGTTACCATATTCTTTGATTGTTTGAAGAATGAGTAATATATCTCTAAAGGAATGAATAATACATGAATTAAGTTGGTGATGTTGTGTGCTTAAATATTTATCTCAAACATACTACTATATATGTTCAAATCCACCTCAGACGTGTAAAATACTTAAATTATGATTGTAAAAAAAACTTGTATTTTAGTGTTGGATTTTTATATTTTTGTACATGAAATATATATTTTTGCATTCTTTTGCATCAGTAATATAAATTTTTTATTAAATTTTAGATGAATTAGTCCAGTCGTTCTCATTTATTTCTTTCTTATTTTATTTAATTAATGTAGAGCAATTTTAATTTTTTTGAATTGCATATATCAAAATACGTTGTATTAAACACACACACACACACACACACACACACACACACACACACACACATTGAATTGCATATATGTTAAATGTTTGTAAAGGTGTGATAGTACAACAATTCAATGTAGTCTAGTGGGTTGCAAGATGCAGGTGCATCATTTTGGTCGTAAGTTCAATTCTTGAGGGCTTCGATTTTTTTTACATTTTAAAAGAATATCCATATGGCTGATGATGTGGAATGACAGACGATGGTGACTGATGTGGAGTAGGTAAATGCCGAATAATTTGATAGCTAAAATGTGGAGTATTATTGTATAAACTTTACCTTGAATCGTGATTTTGATGTATTTCATATGTGAAGTATTGAACGAAACATATTTGTAATATAAGCTAGTGAAACAGTCTTAACTAGGCATGGACCCGGTCGGCGATCCCAGACCGGAATCGGGCCCGCTACTGTGCGGGACCGGACCAGGTCCGGTTTTCCAGTTCCGATCTAGGACCGGGTACCTGACCGGGTTTTTCCGGCCTTGATCCCGGAAATGTGGAGTATTATTGTATAAACTTTACCTTGAATCGTGATTTTGATGTATTTCATATGTGAAGTATTGAACGAAACATATTTGTAATATAAGCTAGTGTAACAGTCTTAACTAGGCATGGACCCGGTCGGCGGTCCCAGACCGGAACCGGGCCCGCTACTGTGCGGGACCGGACCAGGTCCGGTTTTCCAGTTCCGATCTAGGACCGGGTACCTGACCGGGTTTTTCCGGCCTTGATCTCGGGCTGCGTTTTTTGGGACCGGACCGGGCGGTTCCGATCCCAATGGCTAATTTTTTAAAAAAGTTTATTAAGAGGGGGGGGGGGGGGGGGGGCTGGGGCTGGGGTGAAACTAGCCGTTTGGAACGGCTAGTAACAGCATTATAACCGTTGGGGAGGGGTTTGGGGGGTTTGGGAGTGGGGGGCTACCAAATTTTTTTCCTATATATATATCTATTCATTTTAGTGTTTCTAATAAATATACATCATTTTTTTATTCTCCAATAATTAAAAACAAAAAAAGACCGGACTGGACAGGAACCGAGACCGGACCGGCTCCATCCCTAGTCTTAACTCATAAAAGATTATACTCCGTATCATTTAAAGTTCAGACTGGAGCCCTATGAATGGACGATAGCCCAAATCTCCATTAGAATCCCCAAAACAACTACGTGCAATCAATTAATTTAGTTAGCTAATGAAGTTGTTATGGTTTGATAATAATTTGGATTTGCTACATTTGATGATAATACTGTGTTTATATATGTGTGAAAAATAACCTCTTTTCATACTGTCACACTCGATTTGAGATGTTCCATTTTTTAAAAGTAACATACTAGGGCAGCCCACAAGGAAAATGCCAGTTGGCCATAGGTGTAGTAAGTAGCACACTTTGCTCAACAAGAAAGAAACAATCATCATATTTACAACAATAAAAAACAAAAAGAACAAAAACAGACCAGGTTTTAAGCATAAATATAATGCTTCATAAATTATGGATACTAAATGGTCCACTATTATTTACATTGAAGTGGAAAGAATGAATTCTGAATGCTTCTCACTCCCTCAAAAACACCTTGTATGTACAAAGAAGAAGAAGAAAATGATGATGATGCTCTAACTCAAGAAGTCTCATCTTATCTCCCTCCACAAAGAATACCTCATCAAAGCTAAGCACATATATACCCTTAATTTGAAGAGCACATGACTTAAAGATTGGCAGAAGAAGCTAAGGTTGTGTCCCATTGCACATGCACTCCGGGATAGGGTACTTTGTCACGTCCCTTCCCACTTTCTTGAGTTCTGGCATACCCAACGAATCTCTATGCAAATCCCTTATAATTGTGATGAACTCTAACTCAGACAGGGAAGAGTTCATAAAATGCCGGATCATCTGTCTCTTGTTTGGTGTGATGGTCTTTTTATGTCCTGCATATGCCCGATGTCCCTATACCAAACGTATAAAACGTTAAAATTATACTAATCTAAATTTGGTATCAAAGTTAAGTCTGGTTGTAATCTAATTACTTTTTTTGGCACCCCAGATTAAGAGTAGCCTTATTTTGCTCATTGATCAAACTATCAAGTTGTCTAGCTCAGCTCGGAGTGATCAGCTTATTGCCTTATTTAACACACACCAGCGAAGCATAAAATACTATATCAACATATAAAACACTATCATGCCTTTGTATAAAGTGAGGCATGTGATCACTCTAAATTAGAATTCCGAAAAGAATAAAAAATGTTTAGAGCTAGAGTATCTTGTTTGGAGAACATTTCTTACTTTAAACTCTATAATTGACAAAGATACATGTGTGCAAATGCTACAATAAACACGGTTATTGTTCAAAGTCTTATTTTGGAAACATATAACTTCAATGCTAAATCTGCCACTAACTTAAAGCTTAACATATTTGAGATATACATATTTGATCTTAAAAGGTCAACACAACAAGAGGTAAATCCCAAAACTTATTTATATGCATCTTTGTATCAATTGTTTACATTTGACTCATGAGATATATACCTGAATGGCATGGCCCATGTTTCCGCCATGAGATGGCAAGAAGACATCACTATTCTCCGAGACTATATAGTCAATGGCAGCCATGAGGGATGCTTTCTTTGTAAAAGGCTCAAGCTCACCCGGCAACGCAAGGTCTTCCTTGTTATAGAAATGAGAGAACTCTCTAGTCAACGGCAAGAGCGTCTCTTTCCCACCCAATGGGATTCCTCCTGCCCAATAGATCCTCGTACTCCTCGGAGCCCCCAAAGCTTTAAGCAACCTAAAATTTGAACAAGTTTATCCCCCAAAGCTTTAAACAACAACTATTTAAGACTTTTTTATGCTGCTAAAACGAGAAACAGTTAGGGACATCTTTACCTTGTAACTTCAAAAGCATTTAAGGGGCATAGACCAGCAAGTTTTCTCTCATGGTAACTCATGTTTGATTTTGAAGTTAAAAGCTCGGGGCGTAGCTCTCTTTCATTGTTTATCATCTCGTCGTAGTGCTGGCTCAGACCGGGAAGGCATCCAGTCCGAACCCACACGTCTTTCTCCATCCTGATGTGGAGAGCAAGGTATGGTCCTTTGCTCCTCATCCTCTCTGTAAGCTTGTTACCAAGTTCCAAAATTGATGGGGCAAACCTTAAGGCGTGAAAAGCTACCTACAAGAGTGACACACAGTAGATCGAGACTTTTTTACTTTAGTACATTTTCCCAAAAAGTATGAAACATAAAAAGTTAAAAATACAAAGACAACAAAAACGCTAGCTATTCTTTTTTCATACACTACTAATATAGTATTCTGCATTTTAGAGATGAAACTATATTCAAATAATTACATTTTAACCGGTCAACATGATCATAGAACTACGTACTTGAGGGTCTTGCATTTTGTGGGACTATTAGTTTGTACTGATCTTTAAATTAGGCATTTGTATAACGGTTTAACTTATATTTCAGAAATGAAATCACCTTGCATCGAAGTTTTTGAAGATCGGAGGGTAGATCCTTAGACAGCCTCGAATCCAAACCTCGCAGTAGCAGAACACCATTCCTTCTTAGCTACAACAATAGTAATTGTAATAAATGCTACAAGAATGTCCATTTCCAGTTTAAGGAGACATATATAGTTTGATATTTGCAACTAAGAGAATTTTGCAAGTCATGAGCTATGTCAATATTTAGAGAGAGCCTTTTGGTGAACAGGCTTATCAATCAACTTTTTCACGACACAAAATTTTTTATATCACGCTCTGAATTGTGTAATGATTAAAATAACTAAGGTTAAAGTCATGTTTCCTAGTTGCATTGGCTGAAATTATTGTAGAGAATCATTTTAGCTATTTTTCATTTTTAATTTTTTCTTTATTTTATTAATAAAAAATATTTTAAAAGTATAATTTTTTCATAAATCATAATTCGATAAATTTCAAGAGAATCATCTAATACAAAGCAAATATTAGAATAAATATGAAATGCAAGTAACAAATTCCTATGAAGCACTCATGACTTCATGAGTGCACTATAGTCTAAAAATATAAAACCAAAGAAAATAAAATATGAAATACTAATTCGAGTATTGGGACAAATATAGAAGGTAAGTATATTAAATTTCTATTAAAAATACTGTGGAATTAGTTTTTATGGGGTCCAGTTAAAAAACAATACATGTGATCTTGACATTCTTAGCAACATGTCCAAAAGTGGAACAAGAAAAACAGTCACTTTATTAAAGTTTTATTCAGTTGACAATCACAGTTGTTTACATATGTACAACTGCTTTAAGTGCCCTGTCCCTCCTTCCCCAGATATAAAGCTTGGTAGTACAATAATTTCCACACTTGAACTTTTGCAATCATCACCTGAATATCCATTTATCTAGACATTTCAATGTGAAACCGAAGTTCATCTTTGGTAGTTCGATCGGTTTCCTGCCGGCCTAGTATCTGTTCGGTTCTTGTTAAAATTTAATGAAATCGTATAAAAATCGTATGCGTTAAATTCGATTCGGTTCTAGTTAAAAATGTAGTTCTTAAATTCGGTTCGATTCTAGTTAAATTCGGTTCGGTTTTTACCTTTTTTCGGTTCCTTATAAAAATTTATTATCCTCATAAAATGAACACATTTTACTTTCAATTACATAAAAAAATTCAAATTTTAAATCATGAAATTATGACCAATTACATTATGCATGCATGATATCTCAATGTTCAAAAAAAATATGCAAGTGCAACATTAAATTTAAACATAACAAAAATCTCGATTTAAATATGCATCAACTGTCAAGCAAAAAGGTTCAATACCTCCAAAGTACACATCAAATAGCAGGTAGTTCAACAAAAAATAATATTCTTCTACTAGTAATGCACAATAAGTAAAAAGTACGTAGTTATAAACAACGTAATCAACAGAATATTAATTTCTTTTTTGAGGTGAACTCCAATAACAAATACAATTACAAACAAACAATAAATATAAAAGTGGACTAAAGTATTAAAATAATAACTACTCGGATTGACCTTGTCCATAATATATAAGGTATATTATGCAAAACAAATATTTTTGACAAGAATTTTCTGTTTGGAACACCGTATGGCCACCTCCATTTGATGTGCTTTCAAGTAGAATTTTTTGATAAATTTTGTGAGCATGTTCTAAATGAAACATAGATTATATAATACCAAATTTTAGCTTAGAATTCAATCGGGAAGTGAGTTAAATAAAATATTGAAAAACATTGTGTTTTTTTACATATTTTGGCGTAATGCTTTTCAATAATTTATTTAACTGACTTCCCAGGTTCATCTTAAGCTCAAATTTGGTGTACATAATCATTATTTCATGAACAACAAGCTCACAAAATTTCATCAAAAAATTCCACCCAGAAGCACCTCAAATGAAGATTACTCATGCAATGTATAAGAAGTTCGATTCCTGGCCAGGAACCGGAACCGGAACCGATGAAATACTATAGGAACCGAACCGAAAAAAGTTAAAGTCCAAAATTATAGGAACCGAACCGAACCGGAAATTTCAGTTCGGTTCAGATCGGTTTTCCCAGTTTTACGATTCCAAGTCCCAGCCCTAGTTTCCTATATAATTGTAATTTAAGAAAATTGTAAACTTATATTACTCCTTACTATTTATCTTTTCCCCCAAAAAATACGTACTCCCTCTGTCCCGTAAAGAAGTTCTCGTTCGGTTTACGATGTTCGACTGACGATAAAGCAACTCGATCCTTGTTCACACTCGGATTATTTTTAGTAAATAAAGTTTACATATTCAGAAACTACATTAAAACCGCTACAAAGCTTGATCAAGAAAATTTAAATTTGATAAAATTTTGATATATAAAATAAACGATTATGAGTGATTTAAGTTGACCAATGAATAGTGAATGAGGACTTCATTTCTCGACAGAGTAGTACTATATTGGTTCTAAAATAGTCACTGATTAATGATGTTTTTAATTGGGCTGAAATTTCTGATTTGTTCTGGTATGATTTATTCTGGTCTCTGTGTATTTTATAATTGTTCAATTATAATCTAGTCTAATATGATTTAATCTAATTTGGGACTTAGGATGTTTTTACTTGGACTGTAATTCGTCCCAGACCAGACCAGACCAGATCAGACCAGACCAGACCAGACCAGTTCAGACCAGACCAGACTTGGATAGTTATAAAAATACAAAGAAACCAGATCAGACCAGACCAGTACAGACCAGACCAGACCAGATCAGACCAGACCAGACCAGAACAGCAAATTACAGTCCAAGTAAAAACATCCTTAAAAAAGTCCAAGTAAAAACATTATAATAAATATGTAGTACTACCTCCGTTCCCATTTTAACTTCCAAATGGGTTTGACAAACAGTTTAAGATAGTGGATATTGTGTGGTGGAGAGTTGTGCAGGGGAGAGAGAAATGTGTAAGAAATGTTGTGAACCACATATTCTTTATCAAAAAGGGAAAGTGGAAGTTTTAATTGGAACGAACGAAAAAGGAAAGTTGGAAGTTTATTTAGGAACGGAGGGAGTAGTAAGTTCAGAAGTAAATATCAATTTAAAACCCATTAAACTAAAAATAGTAAAAATGACCCAAGTATCCTATCATTTATTTGACTTACAAGTTAATATTTAATACGTACTACCTCCTTCCCATAAAATAAGTCTCACTTCAATTTGGATCGGAGTTTAAGAAAGTGAGAATAAAGTGAAAATGTATGGTTGTGGATGAGTAAGAAAAAGGTAAATGAATGTTAGACACACAAAACTTACCAAAAAGAGAAACAGAAACAATTTTTTGAGACGGTCCAAAAAAGAAAGTGAGATTTATTTTATGAGACGGAAGGAGTAGTACTCTATTTTATTTGAGAACTAGGAGCTCTCAGTATAGGAATCGGAAGAATTGCAAGATTCAAAAACCCCAAACGATTCCAAACGAGCCCTTAGAGTTCAGCTTAGATTACGGGCCAGAAACAGCGACCTTAATTATTTGTGCCCTAATTATTTCCGAACAGCACAACTCACTCATCCACCAACAATGCAAACAACCACCTTAAAGCCACTAATAATAGTTTACAATTATTTCCTGCCGAGCCCAGTATGTTATTCATTCACTTATCTTTTCGGCCGGACCCCATACACTCAAACCTTTTAAACACTTCAATCATAATCAAACTGCCTTGTAAAAGCAAAAAAATAAAAAATAATAAGAGAAAATAAACTGTTTTGTACACAATGTGTACAGAAAATGTACACATCCTAATTGCTTATTTACACAACTAACTTGTGTAGAAAAATGTAACAATTATCTGCCTACACGCAAAAAATGTAAAGATGTTTATATGTGGATGCACACAAAACAATGTTTTTTTAGACATTTTTCTTGTAAATTTGTGATAAAAACATTCTTTTTTTTGTGATGGTGTACATCCGACCCCCCCTACCTCACCATAGGAAGGGGTATGTGTCCGCCTAATATTTCGTGTCTAAGAAATTGAATTTTTGCAAGGGACGTTTTTCATGTATTGACCAATATAGGGTCCTTGTAATATCTATTTTCAATTTATTAGTCTTATAATCATTTTTTTGGGAGAACTATCAAATAAACTCTCGAACTTTCACAAAAAATGCAAATAAACTCTTTTACAGGAGGCTTTGTCCGGCTGTCGTCATTTGGGTCGATTTCCGGTAGAATTTTTTGATAAAATTTTTTGAGCATCTTTTTCATTAAGTCTAGTTTACCCATACCAAATTTCAGCTAAAAATTCAATCGAGAAGACAGTCAAATTATTTTCTGAAATATATTATTCTGTCTGACTGCGCAGTTATCTTCAAAAATTCATTTGACTGCCTTCCCGATTGAAGTTTTAGCTGAAATTTGGTGTGAATAAACTAGACTTGATGAAGAAGATACTCAAAAAATTTCATCAAAAAATGCCACCGGAAACCTCCCCAAATGGGGTGGACAGAGCCTCCTATAAAGGGACTTATTTGCACTTTTTATAAAAGTTCGAGTACTTATTTGATACTTCTCTCTTTTTTTCAAACATCTAACTTATGATTTCGGGAGCTGCAACATATAATAATCCAAATAAGTACGACTGAAGTACGACTGAAGTTACATTTATGACTCAATTGACTGAAGTTATTGTATGAACTATTTTTCACATATATATTCACCTTTATTTTATTAATGAAATATATTTTGTTTTTGCCAAAAAAGTATAGTTTCTTTTATAATTCAATAGATTCAGTCAATTCAGCTACTTCAGTCTAAATTTTATCAATTTCAATAGATCCCATTCAACTACTTCAAGTGTTATTAAACGAACTCTTAATATGTGCATTAAAATTGTCACTATGGAAAATTTTATAATGGGTAACAAATTTTTGTGCACAAAAAATGGTTGAAAAAAGAAAGTGTTATAGGCATACCCTTCTTGAATAGTGTGAGCGAATCCATTGAGGCGAAGCATGAAGAGGGGTATGTTGCTCCTCAACGGGCCTTGTCATTACGTGTGTGGATGGCAGTGAAGAAATTATTCTAACATCATTTTCCAAAACTCTCTTAAAGTGATCCAAGTCAAAGATATCTGAAAATTCACTGCATATGAACAACAATCCAAATTCACATTCCTATCCTCCAAGTACTTACTACCTTCTTTTGTTTACAATTGAAACATACAGAGTATGTGTTAATTCTTTTTTACCATGATTGGGCAAATTCAACAATGCACGCAAGTTTAGGCCATTATAAATATTCCAATCAATTACCCCAAGAACCAAGGTAATTCACCATAGTGAATGAATCCACACACCCATTTAGGGGTGTTTGTATCTTATTCCTTTTGCTCCCTGAAGTTGGACTTTGGGTGAAAGTGAAGAAGTGATTCTGACGCTCTAATTTACTCATAGAATAAGTTTTTTTAGAAGCTGACAATGACCAACTTCTGAAAACTGATTCTGATTCTGCTTTAAAAAAGAATCTGTTCCAAACACCCCTTACTCCGCGTGAAGAAAATTGAAGCTGACTAAAAGCTTAATAAGGGTGTGGATAAAAAAAATTTATAAAAATGTTTAAAATTTTAAACAAAGTTGCATTTTTTATTTTCCAACACATAAAGGGGAGTCCCGGGGTAATTTCCTGCTGTAATTTCTGAAAACCAAATGAAAAAGAAGCAAAGAGAAATGATCATACGCCTTTTTGAGCTGGAAGCTCATAAAGAAAATGTAAAAAGGGGTGACATTAATAGCCCCTGTCCTAAGAGGATGTTCTTGCTTGGATTTTTCAGTGAAATTTTGTTGATTTTACAGTAAAAACTTTGCTGATTTTGACCGATAACTATTCAGAAATTATACCCCGTATTGGCTTATGACTTTAAACTGCAGTTACAGTGACACTAATAAGAATGAAATTGGTAATTTTGCTCTTAGCAAAACTGAAAATTTGTTTTTTATCCATATTAAAAGAGAAGTATAGTTATATTATGAGTAAAATGATAGTTTTATGGTCTAATGGGATAAAATTGACAATGCAACACTCTTCAAACTGGGAATGACCTCATTTTCATTTTGGGAAGAACAGAATGAATACCTTTCATCACCCCAAATGACATTAACTTGCAAGATGGGAAGAACAAGAACAGCACCCAGAATCCTAGCAATCACCACAGCATCAACAATCTGATTCCTCTGCTGATTCAACCCCCCAGCCACCACCACCATTACGTACTTCCTCTTCTCATTCACCACTCCCACACTGACCTCCTTATACACCTCACTGAAATCCAAACACGGCCTATACCCAAACCCATCCGGCTGCTTCCAGAACTCACTCTTCATTACCCTCTCTCCTACGTCATTCCCGTTTTGGGCGAAGGAGACGAAGGAGGAAGACATTGAAGCTGCGATCTTGGAGTTCTGGAGACTGCCAAAACATGGGATTGGCGAAGACAAAGAAGGGTCAAAAGTGTTCGGCCAGAACCAGAAGATTCCAAGAAAGCCAAAGAAGAAGAGGAAGAAAGCCCAGAAGGCAGGGGAGGTGAGGAAGATTTTTACAAGAAAGTTTTGATCTTTGGGCTTTCTTGGAGAAAGGACCAGAGCTTGGAGTGGAGAATGGAGGACGTCGGAGGCCACAGAAATGTACGACTGCTGCTGCTTCTTGCTGCTCTTGTGGACAGCCATATCCGATCCCTCCCGCCAGGCTGGCTATGATCGATCTGCAGAGCAATGGGGATTTTTTTTTTTGAAAGGGCAAATGATTAAAAGCTTCTTCGGCTTTGTGCTAAAAAAAAAGAGAGGAAACTCTGAAAACCGATGGCCAATGGGAGGGAGGTTTGAATGCCGTAATGGGAAGGAGTCAGGGGAAAATGTGTGTGCTTTGTCAGACAGACAGGTTCTTCTCCCGGATATATATGAACATGGGGTCTTTGTATGTGTACGGTAAAATACTACTACCTCCTTGTTTTGTTTAAGTTTCATATAAATATTTCGGACTAAACTAATAAAGTGGTTGAAAATTAAAAGTTATTATTAAAAATCGAATAAACTAAAATTATATATATCTTACATTTTTGTCAAAAAGAACAAACAACACATTCATTTTGGGGTAATACAAAAAGAAAAGTAATGTAAGTGATGGATGCATCTTTTATATTAGGAGGGGCCATATGTACTTTGGATGGAACACAATTTTATGTGAGGCCTCCAAAAAATTAATACTCCCCCGTTTCAAAATGAAGTTTTCGTTTTGACCTACACACATATTTACGTAAAATTGAGTTTTGTTTTGACTTTCCATGTACACCCTTGTTTTATGTTCAATCAAACGAAAAGTGGATAAAAAATAAAGGTAGTTGTGATTTTTAGTTAAAAGTTGTTTCCCTTTATAGAAATGACACATATTTTTTTCGGACATCCATAAAAGGAAAGTGAGAAACGTTTTTTCAGGATGGATGTAGTACATGGTAGTAGCTTTAATTTTGATTTTTTAACTGTTATGTATTACTCCAGAACGTGTACAAATTTTTAGTGTTTACAAATAGGAATTTTTTTATAAATATTCTATTAATGGTTTTGCTTGAAGACTGTTAGGAGGACAACTCTATCCAAGTGAAAGCTCATCGGCTATGTAATATTTTTTTATGATTGTATAATTTGCATACTTTAAATATTACTCTATATAAAATCTATATTTCGGTAAATTGACTAATGTATTTGTATTTCATGAAATTCAGTTACATTATAATTACAATATACGGAGTAGTACTACTTTTTCTTGTTTTACGGGGCATCAATTTGTCATTTACGGCATGACATCTACAATCTATTAGAAGGTCATGCCAAAATGAGGCAAATGGAGTACCTCCTTTCATTTCTTTTTTGTTGGGAGAGATTCATTTCTACCGTATTCACATGTTTTACTTTAATTACATTTTAATTATTTAATATATATTTTTAAATATTATTGAATTCGTCTAATTATAACATATCAAGATTTGATTTTTTTACTAATATAGAATAAAATATATGGACGGTCAAAGTTGTACGTAAAAAACGTTAAAATGAGAGTGTTGCAACTAAAAAGAAGTGATGATAGTATATAATAACCTCACCAACTTGCTCACTACGAAGCATGTGTGCTATGTACCACGAACCATCCTTTTTAAATAACGGAGACATGTTTCTTTAGGCCAATATATATCCCTAAAACATTCAGGGTTGCATCCTCAAACATTAATCTGATAGGAGGAGTAACTCATATCACCAATGAAAACATGAATGACGGCACGATCCAGATGAAGTGTCTATCGTGAGGAGGGGTGTTAAAGTCTCACATGAGATATCTCTGAAAGAATTAAACACAGTATTAAGATCTGAGTTACTCCTCCTATCAGGTTGACCTTTTAACATGAAACACCGGTTTTAACATGATATCAGAGTCAAATCGATCTATGATGTGAGCCTCTTTACAACAAAATGTGCATGTCTATATGGTGTTGCTTCGAGAAAAGATTTTGATTCGTAAAAACAGAGTCTATTTCGACGAGATAAGAATATTATTACCGCCAGTGAATGACCTAGGAGACATGGGAGCTATCGTGACCCCACTTTCCATCTTGAAATTCAGCTTCAAACTTATGTCATAGAATTGTGTCCTGCTTTTTATATGCTTTTAGATAAATATACAGACTTAGATGTCATAGAATCTCCAATAGAGAAACTAATAGTTTTAGGGATGTCGCTAATTGTGCTCAAAGCAGAAAGATATACTTTGTATGATCATAAGCAAAAAAAAGAAGCCATTCCCATCAGTGAATAATGACAGGGAGAGCACAAAGCCGAGCATGTCCAAAGTGAAGGAGAGATTGGGCTCCATAAGAATATAATGTATCAAAGGAGGAAATGGTAAACGGTTTCATGTCATCAATCCTAATAAAATATATTATGTGTTAATTTATACGTAGTAATACTTTATTATTTTCTTTCTATTTTTATTTCCATTCACACTGATTTTACTTAAATAATAAATACAATATGGTGCAGTGAACTACTATATTCATTTTCTAAATGTCTAAGAAATAGAAGTTGGGTGTATAGATCAAATAAACCAATAAGCATATGGAACGAACTAAATTGAATCAAATCATTTTCATTTTGGTAATTCGAACTTGGAATTGAACCGAATCGAATCACTCTCAAATCAAATCGAAACGAAATCAAAACGTAACACGAATGACTTTAGTTTGGTACAGTATCTCCAAAACCGAAACCAATCAAAACTAATAGAAGTCCAAGTTGAAACTCTTGTTTTTGAAAATTTGAAACATTTGATCCTATTTTTGCACTTTTGCAATATTGTTGACAAATCTAAGTCAATTATTTTTTTAAAACTAGGTCAGTACAGCGTATGTATTACAATTAGCAGACCATGTTTATTACTCCCTATATCAGAAAAATAATAGAAAAATAGATCAGAAAAATAATCCCTATATTAGTCTATTAATTAGAATGAAGATTCCCAGACATCTCGAATCATTTTGCACGGGTGATTCAACATTATGCCGGTTTAGAAAATTCAAATGGCAAATTGAACGAACAGGATCGCAAATTTCCAAAAATGAGATTTAGTTTGGGAGTTTGTTATTTATTTATTTATCGTTCTTTTGGATATTAAAGAGATAATACTGATAAGCAGTTTTTCCAAAATATCAATGAAATGAAGTTTATATACAAAAATATGACTAATACTTACTATCGTACAACTTCAGAGTCACGTATGAAAATTAAGCATACGTTATTGGTGGTGTTTGGATATTACCATTTTGGGCATAACACCATTATTTTAATGAAGCAAACGTTGGTATTTTCAGCGGTTTGGCCACACAACGTCAATAAACAAACAACCCCATTATAACTAAATTATTACTATGGGCGTGTTTGGTATTTAATTAGCGGTTAGCGGATAATGAGTTATGTTGGCGGGTGGTCAATAGCGGATTCGGTCGGCAGGTTTGACTAGCGGAATAAGTTGACGGGTTGTTAGAAAATGTTTGGTAATTTAGCTTCTTGGCCATAAAATTATTTAAAAACGCCATATTTCAAAATAAAAACCCAAAACATTCATATTTGCAGTGTTTCTATTTCAGCGGTTCCATCCAAAAATCATAGAGCCAACAACTATTTACCAAACACCCCCTATGTATTATAATCACTATATTTAGGTCATATTTTTGTAAACAACATTTGTTTTAGTCATATACTCACTCATATATATGTAATTCTTTGAGCATGAAATCTATTTATAAAAGTATGATTAATAGTTAGTGATGAAAATGGCTATTCTCTTGCGGTTTTCCGTTGTTTCGTACGTACTAACAAGTCTCCATTTCAAAATGGAATGTCGTCTAATCGATTTTAGGGTTAATAGAGTTGTGCATGAGTAAGAGTGTCTTTATTGAATTGGTTTTAGCCTCAGATCAGAACAAATTAGATTAGATTGGACCTAAATGACTAGACTAAACTAGACCAAACGATATCAAAAATTGTAAAATACATAGAGACATGAAGACAATCAAACATCTATCAGACCAGATCCGACTTAAATAGATCTGAGAAGATCAGACCAAACCAAAAAATTTCAACTCAAGTAAAACATCGATCTAAGTCGGCGAAGTGTACCATGATTGCGAGTTTATGACTGATTTTTTGGGTTTGATTTTGGTCTCTTGTATATATGTATATGCATATTAATGTTTGTTATGCACATTAGTTCGTGATATTTAGTCCCGCTACAAACTAATCATAAAAAACAATACTACGTATAATATACTACCTCCGTCCCAAAAAATACTTCCTGGTTTGACTTGACACGCTTATTAATAAAGTGGAATAAAGTAGAAATGTATGGTTATAATTGTGTAAGAAAAAGGTAAAATGAATGTGAGCCACACAAATTGTCCAAAAAGGAAAAGTGAGAAGTGTTTTTTGAAACGACCCAAAAAAGAAAGTGGAAAGTATTTTTTGGGATGGAGGGAGTAACATATATAACGTATAATGAAATCTCGCAATGGGGAATGGGTTAGGTAGTTAATCGACAAACTTTTATTTTAAGGAAAAAATAATTTAATTATCTCAAACTTTGAAGAGGTGTGACATAAGTATCACAAACTTGCAAATGTATTACATATACATTAAACTCTATATAAAAAGTTATGTTAGCACAATGACTTAAAATACACAAAACATTTATCAGGATGCAATTAAAATTAAATTATTCAGAATGTAATATTATTTATTTCACAAATAAAATTTTAGAATGCTAATTAACTACATTTTAACAAAGCTTAGAGTATTTTAAACAATGTAATTATCCAACAAATTTGTATTTGTAAAAAATGAACAATCGTGAAGCGAAAGTAACTTTTTATATAAAGTTCAGAACATGTATATTACATATGTAAATTTGGAATATTTATCTCACACCTCATTCAAATATGGAGTATTTAAATTATTTCCACTAATTAGTAGATAGGACTATAGGAGTGCTAATTAATATGACATGCATATATTACGAGTATATATATATTGTACTTGTATTGTTTTAGAAGCAATCTCTCCTCCAAGAGGTGGAGGGCCAAACTATGTCCGGACATTTTTTTTAATAAATAAACTAGAAAACGTACAGCGCATGTACTCCATGTATAAGAATTGCCTATTATTTAATTAAATTGAATTAGATTAAAAATATTAGAGTGAATATCATTAGACAACTCGAATCTTTTTGCATTTAGGATTCAACGTTGCGCTGGTTTATAAAATTCAAATGGCAAAGAATAAGATTGCAAGGCTCCAAAAATAAGATGTAATTTAGAGGAGAATG